TACTAACACATGTAGCTACGAGATCATGCCAAAATGAAGGAAGGCTTAGCCTTAACATACCTTATCACTCTTTTCAATCACCAACTTGAACTCGCCTCTTCTCACCTTAATCTACAACAACGATAATAATACTATCATTAAGTTACGAAAGGTACAACTAACGCACAACGAACGACAAGCTTATTTTGTATTAAAACGGACAGCATCTCCCCTATAATCCTTACTTCCTCCAAATTCAAGATAACACCACAACACCAAAAACAACAATAACAACATATATACATTAGTTTCCAACCTTATGCACACCACACAATACTACAAAACAGCCCAACACACCCCAATCTCTTCATACACAAAACGATCACCGTAGTAGTGTCAACAACCCGAAAATATTACGATGAACGACCAGCCCAACATACTGTATTTCTATGCATATACAGTAGAAAAATGGATGAAAGAGAGCAGTAAACTTACCTTATTTGTTGGATAACTCGGCTCATATCTTGGTATTTCAAACTCTAGGCTTTACCTCCAATTAGAACTTGAAAGGGAGAGAAAATCAATTGGGGTTTGGGGAAAATTTTTGGGAGGAGATTTGCAGAGATTAAGTCTGGTTATTTTACCATATTATAATCCTAATATATGAAGGGGATAGGCCTTTAAAAATGCCTCTTTGAACGACCCGAACTGGCCCATTTTTGGACGATCCGAAGAGGCCCATTGTTGGATTCTCGTTTAAGCAAGTAGGTGACACTCTGCGCAGTCTCGAAAAAATACCCATATCTCTCTACTCCGATATCGTATTGATAAACGGTTTAATGCGTTGGAAAATAGACTCATAGATATTTAATTTGATAGGTGGAAAACCCCAAAACTCAACGTATATTGGGAGAAAATGGCAGTTATATTTGACCCAAAAGTTTCAGTAAAACTCATGAACGTAACTTGTGATGACTTTCATCGACTTTTGTTCCACCATTCGCTTGACTTCAAAACAACACACGACTATCATACGTCTAACATAACTCATAACATAACCTGCTTATCAATTTAAACACCCCAGTCTCACTCCAAAAGTACATGTTATAACATTCCAATTTGTCGACTTTCGACGGAACATTATTTATTTTTCAATTCCTTTAGCTTCTGAACCTTCCAACCATCTTTGTACTTGTTGTTCATGATCTTCAATATTTGTAACCTCCTAGGTAATATGATTAACTTACTTTGTAAACTTTTCAAATATGATTTCATTTCTGAGCTTACATCAATTGACTTACGACATACTCGTACGTACGAAAACATGGGTTGTAACATGGCCGGTACCTCCTGTGGAATATATGAGTGTTAATACAAATTCAATACAACAAATATATACATCGTAACACTAAGGAAAATTAAAGTTTACCACTCCTCTTGTAGATTATGTAAAGCAGGAGAGAAATTATTTCCCCGCTCCTCATTCGCCCGTGGTGATAAGTTTAAATCACGGCAAACTCTTTCATCCGGAACCTGTTCGGCAAAAACTGCTCCAGAATAATCACCTGATGACTGAGGGTTATCCCTACTATGCGCAACCTCATTATTGCGAACGTCTTCGACCTTGACGTACATTTCCAACATTTTTATATTCCCGGTATTCAATCGGAGTCCTCAAAAAATCCCTCAAAGTTTCATCATCGTCGATGTTAAACTCAGCGTAACAAGCAACCCCTTGCGGAGTGACGGAATACGGATATCTTCCGGTTACTTTAAGGTTCACCGAACGTTTCCTCACACTCATTTTATTACATAACAACGATACCAATCTATCGTACTCCATTGTAAGTGGCAACGTAACATGACACTGTGGAGATAAACTATAGCTCACGGAGTTATTCGCCACCACAACCTCACCCCCCAATATAACGAAACCTTTATTTTTCGCTCTTCAGACATTATGAAAAAATGCTTGAGAATTTAACATGAAGAAAAATTTGAACGAGAGTTAGGAATATTTTTAAATGGATTTTTGTAAAATGCTAACGCCTTTAAATAAGACAATGTCTAGCTCGGTGGACTGATTTTTTTTAGGTATAGCGCTCTTTTAAAGAGCGCTATACTTTAACAGCCAAAACTCCGTTAAAGCATAACGCTCTTTAAAAGAGCGCTATACCCATTTGAATTATTGTTATGTCAGTTAAACGCATGAGACTTATTGGTGGGCCCACAAAATAGGTATAACGCGGTTATATACCGCGCTGTGTATATAGCGTGGTTTAAAAGAGCGTGCTCTTTTAAAGAGCGCTATACTTTAACAGCCAAAACTCCGTTAAAGCATAACGCTCTTTAAAAGAGCGCTATATATAAAAATATTACTCTTTTTTTAAAACACATTTTCGTCACACTTGTCCAAAAGAATCATTTTGGATTCCGAATCCCAAACAAAGCGGGCGTTACACGTCACATAACATCACAACTGCTCTTTTGGTACTTTTTGGCCATGAACCCCAAAAAACCATAATCTAATAGAAAATAGACACGTGGAAAACCTCATGAGATCCATGCCGTTCAAATTCCTCGATCACGGTTTCATCAAATGCAAAGTCTATTTTACCCCTACAGAAATTTCGACTAACATTTTTCCTTTCGCGCGTCCACGATACCCTCGTCTCCCTCCCAATTTTCCCTTCATGTTTCGAATTTCGCAACAATCTTGGAGCCAAAGCTTCCAATTCTTTGAGGAGAATTTAATATATTCTTTTTAATTTACTGTTTTTAATTTTTTATAGGGAAAAAGAACAAAAATATACCTTAGTTTTGCTACTTCACAGACATATATCCCTTCTGAACATATATATCTCCAATTTCATCGGTACATCTACGAAATTTTGTTTTCCGTAACTCACAAATTTCAGATACATCCGATTCTCATCAATTCAGAAGCTTCAAATTTCGATTTTAACTTGATTTTGTTGAAACATTTCGTTTGTTTTCTTCAATTTCACCGATTATAGAATTCTTCCTATTTTTTGTCCTTACGTGGTCTCGCTCTTTGGGATAAGTAAATTTGGAAAGTTGTCGATGTTGTTTCGATTGTGTTTCTGTAACTGATTGATTCGTTGAAGTGGTGAGTTTTTGGAGCAATTGACGTGAGTCTCGGGTTTTGAATTGGATTTGAGATTCGCAGAATTGGGGATTTGAGTTCGAAGGATTTGTTGTTTCGATTTGAAAATTAGGGTTTTGGTTTTGGGATGGTTGAGGATTTTCCTAACGTACAACTTCGCGTGCGAGGAGTACATCCCCACGTAACCGAATTTTGATGAGGAGAAAGATGTTTGTGAAACGGACGGTGAAAGTGGAAATGCCGAAACTCAAGCGGTGCAAAACCGAGGAGGATGAGAAATTGAAAACTGAAGAGCTGTTCACAGTGCCTATAAAGGAATTAGAAGATTACCGCACTAGTTTGGTGGATTCGTTTTGTAGAGAAGCTTTGAGTTACGCGGGTGAAGTGGAATCAAGCTTCGCTTTAGCTGGAGCTTCGAGAAGCTTGGAAAAAGCTTTTGAGGTTCATAACCATAATAAGCCTCCACTTTTGAAGTCTTCTCGTGGCCGCATTCAAGTGCTTCCTTCAAAGTTCAATGACTCTGTTTTGCCTTCGTGGAAGAAAGAACAAAACCCAGAAGAACAAGAGCTGTTGTGCTTGAGTGAGAAAGATGAAGGAGCAGTTCTGCCTCACAAGAAAAGGTTCAAGTCTGAAGGGTATAATCAACGAATGCAGCATTTACCTAGTTCTGTAATATTTGAGGATAGAGAATTTGGTTATATGCAGAGTAAAGATTGTTCTAGAAGTTCTGTGACGTCAGTATGTGAAGGTGGTGGTTCTTCAGCTCTGATGGAGAGTGGTGGGTGTGAGTCGCGGGCGAGNAGATGAAGGAGCAGTTCTGCCTCACAAGAAAAGGTTCAAGTCTGAAGGGTATAATCAACGAATGCAGCATTTGCCTAGTTCTGTAAAATTTGAGGATAGACAATTTGGTTATATGCAGAGTAAAGATTGTTCTAGAAGTTCTGTGACGTCAGTAGGTGAAGTTGGTGGTTCTTCAGCTCTGGTGGAGAGTGGTGGGTGTGAATCACGGGGGAAGAGGGGCTTTGCAAGGGAGGATAGTAATTATATGAAGGAGAAGGTTGGAAAGAAGAAGGATTTCTTTGAGCCGGGAGATTTTGTTTTGGGAGACATAGTGTGGGCAAAATGTGGAAAGAATTACCCTGCTTGGCCTGCTGTGGTGATTGACCCGTTATGGCAAGCACCTGAGGCTGTTCTAAGGGCTTGTGTTCCAGGCACACTCTGTGTGATGTTTTATGGCTACTCCAAAAGTGGGCTAAGGGTAATCTCTCTTTCTTGATCATTAGTAATAACAATTTTTATTAGTTTGGTGCGGAGATTATACAATTGGTATATAGGCAGAAGGGTAATCTGTCTTATTTTTTTTGTTGTTGTAAAACTCAGCAATATTAAGTGAGCAGTTATGCCTTGGTATATTGAGTACTTATATACTTAGCTATAGTTATTTGATTAGAGACTTTAAAGCTATTGTTGTTTGTAGGATTATGGGTGGGTCAAAGCTGGAATGATCTTTCCTTTCCAAGAGTATGTGGACAGGTATGTGATGATCCATTTATCAATTAACTTCTGGTACTTCTGGGTACTTGTATTTTCATCATTTCTTTGTCCAGATTTCAGGGGCAGACTAAGTTGTATGGCAGCAGACCAAGTGATTTTCACATGGCAATAGAAGAGGCAATTCTAGCTGAACATGGTTACTCTGATAAACGCCCTGAGATGGAACAGGAGACATCTCCAGCAACTAATGACAGTGGAATTGAAGAGGCCACTGGATCGAATCAGGAGCTGGACTTATGTTTCTCTGACCAGGCAAGTTTTCAAACGTCCTTTATGTTTAAGCGAGGAAATGGATCTGAAATTGAATATTTTCTGACGTAGGCCTTAATCTAGCCTGTTATCAGCTTTATGCTATTCTCTTGAGTTTTATTCTTTAGGTTTATAGTAATCTTCTTACTTTTATTAAAAAAGAACCAAAACTGTCCTTTTACTTTTAGTCAAAAGTGTTCAATTTTTTGTTGCTGGAGCATTTGCGTTTTGAAATATAACCTTCACTGCCATAATGATTTGAAGAATCTCCAGTGGTTCCATTTTGATGACTTCTGATTAATTCTTTAGCAGGATGGATATGATAAGAGGAAAGACACTCGACGATGCGACAGCTGTTATTTGATTTTTCCATTCCGAACCATGAAGAAAGTTAAAGATACAATGTCCAAGGCCCAGTTTTTTTGTGGGCATTGTGTTAAGGTCATCTGCAAAATCTTTTACTATGCATTTCACTGTATTCATATGTATTTCCTTGCTGAAGAGCGAATCCTGAAATTCTGTATTTATGCTATTCAATTGATACTGTTGTATTTTTTTCTATGAGAATCTATATAATGCTATACTTCTTTTCGTTTCCCCACTTTCTGAAGATTTTTATGCTTGTTCAGTTGAGGAAATCAAAGCAATATTGTGGCATATGCAAGAATATTTGGCATCATTCAGATGGTGGGGACTGGGTGAGATTTTTGTGTTTTGATTTTGGTCTTTGGTTCCTTTGAATCTTTGGCTGGCAAACTAGAACAAACTATGGACCTTTTTTCATGTGATATTCTTATTAGGTGTGTTGCGATGGTTGTGATGTTTGGGTGCATGTGGAGTGTGCAGATATTTCCAGCAATGTTTTAAAGGTATGTCCATTTTCATATTCATTTTAAAGTACTGTCTTTCTTCCATTTTCTTTACTTGATTCTAGTTAAGGTTTTGGGAGATTTATCATATATACCAACCTTTTGCAGAATCTACAGAACACTGATTACTTTTGCCCTGAGTGCAAAGCAAATTCTAACAAAAAAGCGTCGGTCTCAGAGCAGCGGGGGGCAAAAGCGAGGTATCTTGTTTAAGTTGCACTTTGCCACTTTGGTTATTGTATCCTATCAAACCAACAAGCTGCATTTTTCTTTGGCTGGTCTTTTCCTTGTTCTAGTGTGCGGACTGTAACATTTTCTTCTTGAAACTGTTTAAGTATTTCAAACAGATTAAAAGAGAGCAATGGAAGTTTGATGCCTGACAAGATTACTGTCGTATGCACTGGCGTCGAAGGGATTTATTATCCTGATCTACACTTGTAAGTTCTTAAAATTCTGGAGAGAGAATGGGGGTAGAAAAGGCTTTGTCATGAAAATTCTTGAATTTGTTCTGGAACCGAACTAATCATGTGGATTGGAAAAAAAAAAAGGAAAGAAAATCTAACCATCTGGATTGCTCTTTGTGGAGTGCTAAGGTCAACTGTCTGCTGTGTGTTTGACAGCCAATCTTTCTTCTATTTTGAGAGTACTCTTGTGTCAGAAACATAATTCATGAACAGTTTTTGGCATTTAATACACCAAAAAGAAATATACTACTACATGAGAAAAAATACTTGCCGTTGGTATCAAATGTGAAAACTTGTTTGAAGATGAGAACACTCTTGTGAATCAACTGGTCTGCTGCAAAATATATAGGACACTTCTAATGCTTGATTACTGCATACCTATCTGCTTTAGATATGAAGTGCTCTAGTGTACTTCCTTCATTTTTTTCAGAGTTCAATGCAAGTGTGGTTCTTGTGGAACAAGGAAGCTAACACTTAGTGAGTGGGAGAGACATACTGGTTGCCGAGCAAAGAAATGGAAGTGCAGCGTGAAAGTGAAGGGCTCAATGATAACACTGGATCAATTGGTTTGTTTCTAATTCATATATCATCTTCTCTGATGTTGTAATTTACTCTATCTATTCCATTGCATTCTGTCACTAATCTTAAAAGGGTTCTCTTGCAACTGTTCCTCAATGGTTTATTTTTTTGTGTCAGCTTCACAAAGATTTTATGTTGTTGGGCAGTAAAAGACTGCAAAAATGGATAACAAAGAAATGACTGATATTTGTTTTTATTTTACAATTAGCTTTATTTATTTATTATATATTTATTTTGATCGGTGCAGTATACCTTACGTAGATCATCCTTCACATTTTTGTTAGGGTTTTAGATGGATCTTTGGTAGTTAATAAACATGCTATCATCGCCTCAACGTTGCTTTTTGTGGGTATTCATTTCAGTTTTTTTTCCTCGAGATCGTACGTGACATCATTTTGGATATGAACCTTTCATTTCCTTTGCTTTCCCGTGTTTTCTTTTTGACGTGAAGGGGTGATATATGATATTATTTGTTGGTGGGTGGATGGGTGAAGGAATATTCACTTTAAGAGGATCTTGCCTCCTCACTGCCAATAAATAGTAGTGATTCTTCTTCTGTTCGTTAATATCTGGAATAGGTTTGTTTTATTTTCTTTATCTGAGATAGTAGTATTGATGCTGCAGCTTTCAGATCATAATGCTTATAACTTTACCTATCAGAAGTTTACCTATCAGAAGTTAGATCACCAGCAGCTGTTTGCATTTTTAAGAGGTATGCTGTATTGGAGTTTCAGTTGTGAGCGCCTGTTTTTGTGTGTATTTTGTTGAACAAGAACTCATATATGTCCTTTTGTGGCAGAGAAGTATGAACCTGTTCATGCAAAGTGGACTACAGAGAGATGTGCTATTTGTAGATGGGTTGAGGATTGGGACTATAATAAAATAATCATATGCAATAGGTATTCCTGTAAATCAACTGTTTAGAAGAAACAAATATATTGGATGAATATGTTACTTTGATCTTGTTGGCGAGATATCATTTTCTAGTGTAACTAATGCCGAAGATTCAGGTGTCAAATAGCCGTACATCAGGAATGCTATGGAGTTAGCAATCTTCAGGATTTTGCTTCATGGGTCTGCCGAGCATGTGAGACCCCTGAAATTGAAAGAGAATGTTGTCTTTGTCCAGTCAAAGGCAAGTCATATTGTATACCCAGCATTTTTCGTAACATATTTCTCATCAATGGTTTTCAAATCTGGATTTGTTAAATGATGCTTTTGCAGGTGGTGCGCTAAAGCCAACTGATATTGACTCCCTGTGGGTTCACGTCACATGTGCATGGTTTCGGCCAGAAGTTGCTTTCCATAATGCTGATAAAATGGAGCCTGCCGTTGGGCTTCTTAGAATTCCTCCGAACACTTTTTTGAAGGTAATTTGGTTTCTGGATCCAAATATTTAGTGGTATCTTTCCCATCTCAAAAAATATATTTAGTGGTATCTTTGTATTCATTTGTTTGGTCCTTGGACATTCTTGGATTTCTCAATTGAGTCTGCTGCTGATTTGTTTGATGCAATAAGTAATTTTCTTTTTCTGTCAAAATATATAGTTACTGGTGGCTAAAAACCCTTGGTTATAAATAAATCTGCAGGCATGTGTGATCTGCAAACAAGTTCATGGATCATGCACTCAATGCTGCAAATGTGCCACCAATTTTCATGCTATGTGTGCTTTGAGGGCTGGATATCATATGGAAGTAAGCTTTTCCTCGTTGTATATGTTGTTCCACTATGATAATCTCTATGAGAGATGCATTCAGTAGTAGAAGGAAGAGAATGTGATAGTTTAGTGTAAACTTCAAATATCATTCACCAAAACTCAGGCTTGGAATGGTTGTCCTCACTGATGGATCAAATTTCACGCTCACATGTTCACAGTTGCTTGGCCAATATGGGAATGCTAACATCTAGACAGCTTTTTATTTCTTACCTTGTAAGGGGATGAACAAAGTTTTGTGATTGGCAAGGTCTATAATTTAGTTTCTTTTGAAACCTTTTTTTCTTGTGATAACTGTAGTATCCTGTCTTGCTGCGCGCACTTTGACTTGTCCACTGAGTATTTGCCACTTTCCTTACCTCTGCTAGAGTTAAAACCTTGTTTTATTTTTTAGATAACCGTGGTGTCTAGTCCAACTTACGTGCACTTCGACTAATTCCAATGGGTACCTGCTACCTCCCACCACCGACAGGTACCACCAACATGTACCAGGTAATTCTATCCACCAATACTTGGATAGATGTGAAGAAATCACCTAGTGCTTTTTGGTCTCCGTTGTTATTTGAACCTGAGACCTCATGGTTCTCAATTCACTTCATCGACCATTAGGCCACACCCTTGAGTGCCCTTAAAACCTTGGCTCTCAAGGTTGTTAATCCAACTCTTCGATTGTTATGTCACCCCTTGGTGAAAAACGAAGAGAAAAAATCAACAAAATTTCTTATCTTGCTGACTTGCTCATAAAGCTCCCTTCTTTTGCCTAGAATTGCTTAAGTATGCCATTGCTAATGATGCATATATGCTAGGACTTAAGTGCTGAAAGTTGTAGTGCCCAGTTTCTGTCCCTGCTTCCCTTTCCTTTAGTACATAAATGTTATGCTCTGGAACTGCTTTAATTGAATCTTTTGAATGCACTATGTGTTTCTTCTCCCTCCACGTGATTGGTAAGGCACTTGAACTAAGCGTTCTATGACTATATAATGTTTGTCGTGTGTGTAATAATGTTTATATGTAGATAGACATTTACTTATCAACAAGAAAGTCTGTTTGTATATGGCAATTTTTTTTTTTTAATTGGAAGTAATTACTTGCTTTGACAATTCGAAATTTTGAATCTCAGTTGAACTGCTCAGAGAAGAACGGTGTACAGATAACAAGATGGTTATCATATTGCGCGTTTCACAGGTAACATAATATCCTCTTATTCTTTATCTTTTGCTTCTTGCTTTGTTTTATATCTTTTTAGATTAATAACACCTACGGCATATAAACAATTCTCTTTTTCTATTAAATCTCTCTACCTAAACTTTGACATTGAACAGCTCAAGATTGATACCGTTAAGCTTTCCTATTAATTGTTGGGAAGCAATTTCTACATTGTTCATTATTTCCATGGTTTTGATGTTTACCTAATATGTGGTATGCTTTAATTTCAGGGCCCCAGATACAGATAATGTCTTGGTCATGCGGACTCCGTTTGGAGTGTTTTCTACAAAAAGTTTGGTTGAAAGACAAAGCCAAGAACATAGTTTGAGAGGTAGAAGGCTCATCTCATCTAAGGCTCTTGAATTCCCTGAGGCATCTGATGCTGGGACCAGTAGCTTTGAGCCATTCTCTGCTGCAAGGTGTCGTATCTTTCAGAGATCTAGCAATAAGGTATTATGCTCTTTTATATTTTTAGATGTGGTGTGAAAATACATACTTACCTTTTGCACATTATTCTGTTTAGTTCTGCGAATATCCTTTTATGATATTTTTTTTCCACGTGTGTTGGGTTGCGACATCATAAAGCTACCAACCTTTATTCCTTGGTAATAAAAGAAATTACTGAGGAACGATTGCCAAGTTGAGGATAAGATTCCTCTATGAATGATGAGGAGTTCAAATTGGAAGTAACAGAGCAAAACTGCTGTCCTCGCTGCTAACAGAGTGCTGTCTAGTTGTATTAACTGTTCAATAGAGCCACACCCTATCAGGCTCTTACAACACTAGAAAATCCATGTTTGCCACACCAAAATCTTCTGTCATATGCTAGTTGTGAATTTTTTTGCATGCCTTTCTGATGAAACTTGTTAAATTGATGACACACATCAAGAGCGCTGTATCATTTGCTTAATTTATCTTCAAAGACCCAAAACCTGGGTTCAATTTATTTCATTAGAAGCCTAGTACCCAATACTTCTATGCCATTCCATGTAACATGGCTTATAACAAGTCATGCATGTCAAAATTAGAAATCTCTAAGCCTTAGAGGAACCTTATCATAACAAATGAAATGGCTAACAGCAAGTGCATGGCTTGGAGATGCTAGCAAGATGAGCACAGAAATTGCAGGGAAGCGATCCATTAATTTTATTATTTTCCACCCTTTTGTATCTTTTGCATCTAATTTCTCTGGAATATTTTTAATCCCGATCCATGTCGTAACATTATTTTAAATCCATTCAATTTGAATTGGTATTTTCTCCATCACAATTATTGATTTATTTTTATGAGCAAAATTTCTTGTTTTTCTTTTTCTCGCCTCTAATTTACTTTTATTTCGTCTAGAGGGCTGGACAAGTGGCACTATTCCATCGACTGATGGGGCCAAGGCATCATTCTTTAGAAGCAATAGATTGCTTAAACTCACAAGAAGTATGTAATATGTTTCTTCTTGTGTTTTAGAATCCTTCTTGTGTTGTAACACCATCTAATTGTATAGTTTTTCCTTCTCCTATTTTTATGTTTGCAGTTGGCTGGAGATGTGAAGGCTTTTTCAACACTCAAAGAACGGCTGATCCATCTACAGGCAAACAATCTTCTCTTTATGCCACAAGGACTGATTGCTTATTCTTTGCAATATTATCTCTAGTTAATATGCAATTACTTAAACTAGCAAACTTGTTTTCCTAGTTGCATGATACCTGTTGGCTAAGCCCGTTCATCACCCTAATCTTTTGTACTACACAAAAACATAAGTATTACTTCTTACTGTCATTAATTAATCAACTATAACTGCGGCAAGATATTTATCAGACTAAAGGCAAACAATTGCTGAGAGTAGAGTTTGCAACACATGCTTCTAAACTGCAAATACATTTGAAACCAAACTTACTTTCTATTTGTTTAAATCAGACGACAGAAAGCCGTAGAGTTTGTTTCGGTAAATCTGGAATACATGGATGGGGCCTCTTTGCACGGCGAAGCATTCAAGAAGGAGAAATGGTACTTTTCATGAGTGGAACATTATAAGTAATTTTTTAATTATTCCTATGAAGGTTTTAATCTAGATATTTAAGTGATCCATTGTCTTTGGCTGCTTCTTTAGGTCCTTGAGTATCGTGGGGAACAGGTGAGGCGTAGTGTTGCTGATCTAAGGGAGGCACGATATCGGCTGGAGGGAAAAGATTGTTATGTGAGTTTCATTAATTTATGTGAGGTGATGCGTACATGTGCCTAGGCCATGGTTGTCTTGAACATGTAAAGATGAGCCTAATCTACTACACTAGTTTTAAAATAGGCTTAGATTTTAGCAGGAATCATTGGTTTCATCCTTCATAAGATGCTAAAGTGCTAAAGACAGTCTTATTTTGTCCCCGCTATCCTATTATCTGTACTCCAGTCAAAAGGATAAGGGGAATGAAGATGCATAAACTGTCAAGCCAATAAAACCAACAATCTCTAAGTTAGATCTGTTGCTTATTTGGGTTGTTTGCCTCAGTCATTAATTCTAACACATGTTCTTACTCCATGCAGCTGTTTAAAGTAAGCGAGGAAGTGGTAATTGATGCCACAAATAAAGGGAATATTGGACGTTTAATCAATCATTCGGTAGGCTGTTGTTCATTGTCAAACTGCTGTTTGACTTTATTATACTCTCTGGGATACTTGGTTTCACATCTCTACCGTAGACATGCCTTTTTGCTGGCATTTTAATTCAGATACAGATTGCGTACTTGTTTACTTTTGGTTTAAGCCTTTTTGTGCTATCTCATGTAGTGCATGCCCAATTGCTATGCGAGGATCATGAGTCTGGGTGAAGAGGAGAGCCGGATAGTTCTTATAGCCAAAAGCAATGTCTCAGCTGGTGATGAGTTGACGTATGACCGCTTCTTGTTTTTTCTCTTCATCTGTGGATCATCTGTTCGTTCATTTGGTTTCAAATTGTGCTTTCCAATTTGTAGTGGGCGTTTGGACATAAGAATTGTAAAATTCCAAAAAAAAGTGAAAAAATTTTTCAAGTTAAAATGGTATTTGAAAAGTAGAGTTGTGTTTGGACATGAATATAATTTTGGGTTGTTTTTGAAGTTTTGTGAGTGATCTGAGTGAAAATTTTGAAAAACAGCTTTTTCAAATTTTTCAAATTTTCGAAAAATTCCAAAATGCATCTTCTAAGTGAAAATTGGAAAATTTATGACCAAATGTTGATTTCGGAAAAAAGTGAAAAATTTCTTATGTCCAAACGGGCTCGTAGTCTTGAAGTTTCTCTCTTCTGAAAAATAAACTGTATTGTGCTTAATCTTGTTTAACAGGTATGATTATTTGTTTGATCCTGATGAGCATGATGATCTTAAAGTGCCCTGCCTATGTGGAGCTCCGAATTGCCGGAAGTTTATGAACTAGTGTAGCTGATGTACAGGATTTATTCGTACAGTGACGTGCTGACATGAATACAACAAATCTTTTTTTTTTTTAACAGCCAAGAGTTTTGTCATTCTTACTCCAATTGAATTAATTTTAAGTTGTAAATTAGATGTATACACCAGCTATTTAGCTGGCATTTTACACTCTTCATATCGTGAAAGCTTCTTTCTTCTCACAAAAGGAAAAAGGAAAAAATTGTTGAATAACTGTTATGCTATTTGATTTATTTGGCAGAAGAGGGCTAATTGCATTGTGAGTTTTGAATCTTCAGCTCTATATTCCGGGAGAAAGTTATTCTATTGTGAGTTCTGAATCTTCAGCTCTATATTCCGGGAGAAAGTTATTCTATTGTGAGTTTTGAATCTGCAGCTCTATATTTCAGGAGAAAGTTATTCTATTGTGAGTTCTGAATCTTCAGCTCTATATTTCAGGAGAAAGTTATGCTATTTGTCTTATTCAGTTTGACCTATTATTATATTTAATTCTTTCCAGAATATCAGTTTTTTTGTTTATAAAATGGCACTAGCTTTTCCCTCAACTAGTTTAAATGACTATGAAGTTATATTATTTTGTAATATTTTGCAACGCAATGCGAATGTGCTCTACCTTTTTTTTTGTGGGATTTTCCCCCTGTTTGGGTATTTGATATTTGATTGAAATGTTCTCTCTTTCATTCTAGATTACATGTGGAAAGGAAATAAATTGAATCCTTTGTGTATGCATAATAACGATTAAGGGTGAATTTCAGCGTCATCTCATGTACATTTATTCCCTCCAAAGATGATCATAAATAAAAAAAGGGACTTGGAGTCGGCAAGAACTAATAAATAGCTTATGAATAAGTTTTGTTTTTAAAATTAGGGTACTATGATCATACTTGTAAAAACTGTTCATAATTATGAATTAGGCATCAAGAATACTATCTTCTCAAAATAATATTTACTATCTTAAAGATAAAATTACGATGAAAAAGGCAAAAGGCAAAAGGGAAAAAATTCTACATGGAAATCCTAGTTCTTAATGATATTTATAGCAAAACACAACTGCAAATGAATTCGGAAGTGCCAGAGATCAACTGTATCTCCCTTTTGAAGATTGTTAGCTACCACAAGATTGTTCCATCCTTTGTTAAGCACAAATCTCTTCAAGCTCTGCCATCTGGTGAACTTCATCTCATGAAAGTTACCCTCTTGATCCATTACTTTCACCTTAAAACTTTTATCTTTATTATTGTCCTCTAACTTGATTCTCTCCTCTCCACTCAAGTTCTTGAGTAGTTCTTTGTCGAATGTACCCGGAATTAAGAACCTGCTCAATTCTGGGTTGATGTCTGATTCTTCTGCCTTCTTCCTTCCGATGTAAACCAGTCGACTCCCTCCGGCAAGTCGAATAGCCCGATACATATTTGTTGGAGGCAAATTCTCTTGTTCTTGTTCGGGTTCAACGTTGCATGGGAAAATGCGTATTCCAAATAGCTTTATGGTCTTCGGCTCCTCCTCCACTTCAATTTCTTTCCCAAAGAGTTTTATTCTAGTCATGGCTCAATTGATGTTGTTGGAAGTGTAAACTTTGCATGTTATATATAGAAGGGGTTATGCTTTTTCCTATTTGAGCTGGATTCGGAAAAGTTATTTTGTATGTCTACCGTACCGTTAGCAACAATCCCATGCATATAAGAATTAGGAAAGGTATATTAAAAATTCGTAACTAAAGAAAATAGAAGAAATTTTCCAGAAAATAATACTTATTGGATTGAAATTACACAAGTACCTATAAGGTTCCCAAAACATGGGCTTCAGGCCTAGTGAGGCAAGCACCAGAGTAATGGGGGAGAAATTCAAAATTAGCATGATTTGCTTAGCTACTTTTTAAAAACTAATCGTAATTTAGCCAGTTTTTCATGCGGTAATAATATTTGGATAAAAATATCTTAAGTTAAAATCCGGAAAAAAAATTTAGCATAATATATTCGATTTCAAACTTTTTACATAGGTAATTTCAGCATAATGTGTTGGAGTTCAAAATATCTTGTATGTGAATTTCATCACAATTCATCACAATTCACTGGAGTTTGAACTCTTTCAAGTTACACTCCAGCATAATATGTTGGAATTCGCGTACAAGGTGTCTTTGAAGTTTGCAAGAGTTTTATAATGCAGTATATTATGCTGGATTTTTTTCGTATTTGGTAAGAGTATTTTTGTCTAGATTTTATCTCTGCATAAGATAGTGGTTATTTTTTAACGACTTTACACACGCTAGCTATTTTTCAATTATCAGTCGAAAACTGGCTAGCCCATGCTATTTTGACGAGTAATGAGAACCTAATAGGCAGAGGCATATAAGGGTTATTATCACTTTTAGCCAACACCAGAAATTATTTACATCTGGTAGCCGAAAAAGTGTATAAAATTTATATAATTTTTGTATATAGCATACAGAATGTATATATATACAAAAAAATATATAAATTTTATATATTTTTTCGGCTATTATTTTTACAGCGGCTATACAGGGGTATTATCACTTTTAGTCCGCGCAAAAAACTATTTACATATGATAGCCGAAAAAGTGTATAAAATTTATATATTTTTGTATATAACATACAGAATGTATATATATACAAAAAATATACAAATTTTATATATTTTTCGGCAATTATTTTTACAGCGGCTATACAGGGGTATTATCACTTTTAGTCCGCGCAAAAAACTATTTACATATGATAGCCGAAAAAGTGTATAAAATTTATATATTTTTGTATATAACATACAGAATGTATATATATACAAAAAATATACAAATTTTATATATTTTTCGGCAATTATTTTTACAGCGGCTATACACAGTCGTTTTTCCTACAATTAAAGAGAAAAGGGCTAGATCCGTGTTCGATGGGCCTGAAGCCCAGAGTACTGATGAAGCTCCAGTGTCCTCCCTCATGCAAAGAAAGCGGCTGTAGTTTGAATTCTAGTGTTGGCGCGCCTATAAATAGCTAATAGGCCTTCAGTTCAAACTAAGCAGAGTCATTTCAAATCTAAGAGATACAGAACCCACCATGGGTAAACGAATGAGAAGAACCAGAACGCTCTGTTGCTGCGTATCTCCTCGAGTTTCACATCTCACTCCTCACGCCATCTTCTCCTGGTTCTCTCTCTCTCTCTCTCTCTCTCTCTTCAAATTTGTATTGTGTATATCTAGAAAACAGGTAATCCGATTGGAAAAGAATTTTGACGCCGAAGCTTTTGTGATTTTTATATCAGTTTAGTGCACTAAGTTATGTGAATTCAAAAGCGAAACGAATTGAATTTTGTGCTTAAGTTCAGCTGCTCCGCTTATACTGATGCCTGTAATGCGGCAACTGTCAAATTCTTATTGATTGAGATTTTGCAGTTCAATACTCTCTGATCGAAATAATTGAGCGAGAAGTAATTTATCTTTGAATATTAGTTAAAATTTGATAGCCGAAATTTCTCCTGTAGTCGTTCAATTGCTTCTGTGAGAAGGCAATGAGATACTGTATTACTCCAATAGTCTCAATCAATTTGATGCTCTATGATATATGAATTTGAACACGGACCAAATTGAATTTTGAGCTAAAATTCAGCTGCTCTGCTTATTGCGACGTGTGTTATGACGCAACTGTTGAATGCATATTATTGATCGAACAGTTCAATGCTCTCTGATCCACAAATTTGACTTGGAAATCAATTCATTTATTAATATTAGCTACATTTTGATAACTGCTATATTACGCCTGCAATCGAATATATTGTTTCTGTAAGAAGGCGATTCGATCTCTCTGACGCTGCATATTTCTACAGTATGATATACTGCTATTAAAATCAACATCATTAGACTCTTTCTGTTGCGGCGTATTTCTATTTTATGTATCTAGAAGATAAGAAACGATTGAGAATACATTTGAAATTAAGGCTTTCTGATTTCTCAATCAGTTCAATGCTCTAGGTTCCATGGATTCAATAGCTAAACATGTTAAAATTCTGAGCAAAATTCAGTTGCTCTGCATATTGCGATCCATGTTGTGCTGCAACTGTCAATGCATTCATCGATTGAGGCTTTGCATTTGAATGCTCTTTGATCCAAATTTTAGCTTCGAAAAGCGCTTCGTTTTAGTTTATGAGTTCAGGAATGAGTTTAGAAGTATTCTGGTTCGTGGATAACCGTAAGGTTTTGAATGTACAAGTTCAAGGGAATTTCTTATGGCTATCCTACTTTTGACGTCAGTTTAGCCTCTGTAATACAGAATCAAATGGTTTGTTATATCGCAGAAGTCAATGCTATGAACTCTAGAATATTAGCTGCTTTGTTTAATTAATATCATCTGCATGATCATGAACACTACTGAGATTATATTTTGTTGTGTATCATATGGTAGTTATCAAGTTACTCTTGAATGTTGAAACCGAGTTTATGCCTATTTGAATTCCATAAGGTACGAAGAGGACCTGTGGACAGAGATAGCTAAGTTCTTGGATGGAAAATCTTTGGTGATGCTTTCGGCAACTAGCAAGTGGTTCCGTCGTATCATTATGGAGGACAACATATGGAAATATGCATGCTTGCGAGACCTCCAGGTTCCTGATCCTGGAAAAGTATCTTTCAAATGGATCAACTTATATGCAACAGCCTTTAGTAAGTAGTTTCTCGGTTTACAGTGAGTTTGACAACTTAATTGAGAAATGACATCAAAAGTGTCTTGTTCTGTACTATAACAAATTAATTTATTCGTTGCAGATGGATGCCACTCTTACAAGTTCCGCCAGCAGGAGAAGCATATTGGTATGACCTCTCCTGCAGTTTTGCTTTTATATGGTGGATTTTGGTATTAACACTAAGCACGGCTGTGCTGACGATTTCTGTCAATGGTTGTTGACCCCTTTAATTTATTTGAACAAAATGATCAGACTGGATGCGCATTGGAGCATTTTCCTTTGACTCGCAAAATGCACTCCTGACAAATAATTTGATCCTTCCCTTGAAAATCCATAAGGGGAAGACAACAGAGAAGATGTTGGAGTCAAATGGGTGCTGTGTGGTCAGAAATATCAAGAGTGGAATCTGGATTTCTGGTAAAATTCGTGATTGTGCAATATAATTTCTTATCATCATGACTTTTAAACCCCTCTGTTCATTGGTTTTTCCAGATTTGCAGCTTGTTCGTTGTCCAGTCTGTGACCTCAACACATGTGATGGTAAGCTGATTGTGTATTCAGTTAATATTTAGAAAGGAAGGACAAGGTTAGTGTCCTTCAAGAGCTTAATCAGTTATGGAGGTTTTCCACTAAATCTGCAGCAAATTGAATGGTCGTCACTCGCCACTTTATATTAGTGCAAATTAAACTATTCCACACTAAGTACTTTTTGGTTTTGCCCAATTCACCTAGGGACTCCACCCCAGGATTAATTCCTTCGATTGTTTGTCCTATCTATCTGAAGTGATACCAAAGCTGCTTAAAGATTTGGATCATGTGTTATCGCAGGAACAATGCAGGTATTAGATGCAAGACATATTGAACTGTTCCTAAGTGAAGGATACCAGGATGGAAGCTGGGACTATGAATTACTGGGTTCCCACGATGTGAAGAAGCAAGCTGATGGAGCATCTGCAGGTATATTTGATATCAAACATCTCAAGGACTGCTCAACTTCTGGTAAGTTCAACAGTTCAAATCAGTGACATAGTTATAAGTTACTGTTAGTTTTTCCAACACCATCAATTTCAAAAATCGAACTTCCAAAATATAGAATCTTCATGCTGGGACCTTCTTGGGTTCTTCATGCATTAGTACAAGAGTTCATCAAATTTTCAGAACATAGATAATTCATAGTCACAAGAAATCATTGCAGACAACTCCTCGTATAAAGAACTTAGACTGAGACTTATTCCTGATATGAAATTTGATTTTATCCTGTGTGATTTATAAATGCATGTTCAGCTGTCCTTAATCTCAAGTCATGGGTAGGAAAGCCCAAGGATTGGCAACCAAAAGCTATGATAGCCCCTTATGCAGTTGCAGTCAACACAAATTTGCAAGAGAATGAAGGTATATTTTCCCTGGTTTCTGCAGCTTTCATGAGTGACAAACTGTCCCTTATCTCTCACTCAGTACTTACTGTTACATTGTGGTGGCAGGTCTTCACATAAAATTCCATACCATGAAGTCCGGGAAGAATGGTGAAATTGTTTCAATGAGAATATGTGAGCAGCTCCTGTGATTTTGTCAAATTCTGCCAAGTCTAATCTTACTGTCTACAAAACCATAGTTCATTTTTCCAGCAAATATCAGCTATAACTCCATAAATACAACAAGCAGCCCACTATCGACAAGTTTCAGATGGGTTGTAAGTTGTAACCCACCAAGTATACCTAGCAAATTAAAAGAATATATATACTATTTGTTAGCAAATGATTCTTGTTTGTAAAAGTATTACTTACTCGCCAAATTAGCACAGGCAAAATTCGTAATCTGCAGCCTGAACTTTTTTTATGGCTTATTCTTTCTTGTCCTCTAACAGAAGCGACCTAATAATAAATAAATGGAATTTTTAAGCTTTAACTTGTTCTGAGTTCCCAAAGGCAGTATTTTAAAGGAAGTTGAACTGTTAACATCATCTTATCTGTTTATACATCGTACAACTTGGATTTTATAACATCTTTGGCGTGTCAACGAACTTGAACTTATGACTTTTGAAACAACGTAATAAGTTAATGGAATTCTCTATGCTTTGCTATTGGCTATTACTGATAGCGGTTTGATTCTTTGATATACATGAGCAAACTGCTATATATTTCTGATGGCAGTTTCTCCCTATCCAAATTGACTTTTTGAAATACATGGGCAATCTGAAGTTTATCATTTTCTCTTGTCTGCTTTGTTCAACTATTTATGCAAGACATGATTACCCGGATTTCATTTGTGGGAACAACCACTTTGACATACGATTCCCTTTTGCATTAGAAGGCCAGAACCTTCAGAACAGTGGCTATCCTGGTTTCACTCTTAGATGTAGCAATCAAGGCAGAGCAATTCTAAGTCTTCCAGGTGCAGGAGATTTTTATGTACGTGATATCGACTACCTCACCCAAGAGATACAACTCTACGATCCATCTAATTGCCTCCCAAAACGGCTGTTGAATTTCAACACTTCTTCTTCTCCTTCTTCACCTTTCAAAGCTGTTTCCCATAGGAAATATACTTTCTTGACTTGTTCAACGAGTTCGGTTTTGTTTCAGTTCAATGTCATTGATTGTTTAAGCAATTCAACCACTTCTACTTTAGCTACTTCTTCAACGAGTCTTGCAAGCCAAATGACAAGTTTGTATAACTGTAGCATAATGAACACTTCGTCTGTTCCTGTTTCTTGGACTTCTCAATACGAATCAGATATTTCAACTGACCTTAATAACGATCTTGTGTTAACGTGGAATGAACCAAACTGCCAAGAGTGTGAAGCAAAACAAGGTGTTTGTGGGTTCAAGAATGCCACTAGCGGAGAAATTCAATGCTTTGATAGTCCTGGGACAGGTAAATATTTTTTCTAGAGTCTCCTTTCGTTTCTTCTTCTGTATTTTCCGTTTGGGTAGCTAGGAGTAGAATCAATCAATAGATTACGCCTCAATCTCAATCTTGTTGGGTTACTATACGAGACCTTGTATCTCTGGATTGGTCATAGTTAAATTACCTCTATATCAGCCATCAACCTAATGTAACTTCTTTCTCTCTCTCTGATACCAAATTATTGGTTATCACTCTCTCTCTCTTTTCTAAAAATATCTAGCTTAGGACAAACTATACTAGGCAATCACATAGGAGGAGCTAAAGGATAGGTGAGAGTATTCGAAGAAAACAATCAAGGGGGTTAAAGGACTTTTGATTTTTGATTTAGTAGGATATTCTAAGGGAACAGAAAAGGATAGCTTTAGGTGAGCTTTTGGAGTAGAGTCGGTTTATAAGGCAAGTGTTGAATAATGCGGAAATAAACTATAGTACTAATCATGATGTTATATGAATCTTGTATTGACTATCTCGCCCATTTATGTATTCACCACCAACGTTAATAAGTGCATTTGGCAAATTTGAAAGGCCAAGCTGCCCCCGTTTTATTTTAATATAGTAGTCAGATGTCAATCCTTATGGAAAAGCTGACTTCTATTTAAGTGGCTAAAGTTATTCCCCAACTTGCCAATCGTGATTGATTGAGATCGTGCAGAAGATGAAAATGTATCATGTATGTCATTTTATCACTTCCGTATAGATCGCAACAACTCAATGAACTGATAGTTAATGAATTGATTTGGATTGTACCACTGGCTTGTGAAAGAAAATAACGATTTAACTTGACATATAAAATATAGAGTATTATTTTTGGATAACATTTTACATCCAATATGAAATATTATATGACTCAACACCTTGCAATATATGTAATCCAATTTTGAGTTTTATACTTACGGGTGCAATGACAAGCTCACTAAAAGTTGGTTCTGATAATTTGAGTATCAAATTCGAACAAAAAAATAAAATAAAATAAAATATGCCAACAGTTTTGCCTAAAGTTACCATTTCATTTGCAGGCAGCAACCGGGGTCTAGAAATTTTCAAATTTATTGCATTAACCTTACTTATTCCAGCTATCACATGTGCAATGGGTGTATCATGTTACATCTGCTTGGATTATAGCCGATACAGCCGCGCCATGGCTGCAGTTCGGAACACCGCTGCTGCAATCCAGAACGCCACCAACAGAACAACCGTAGCACCACAACCGGCAGCGACTGCCGGCCTGGACGATTCGACAATCGAGTCCTACACAAAAGTAGTCCTTGGAGAGAGCAGGAGAGTTCCGGGGCCAAATCATATGACTTGCCCAATATGCTTGGCAGAGTACAATCCTAAAGAGATAGTAAAGAGCATACCTGAGTGTCAACATTGCTTTCATACTGAATGCATTGATGAGTGGTTAAAGATTAATGGTACTTGTCCTGTTTGCAGAAACAATCCTTCTCCTGCTCATGTTAATTCTTCATAACACATGTAGTTTGTTTACATTTGGCATTTCGAAATCAATGTTGTAAGTCCCCACTCAAAGTTGTACATATGCTTACAGAACGTTTCTTTACTTCTGAAGAAGTTTAGCTAGTTCTCCTCAGATCCTTACACACATACATATACACACAATTAAGTTTTCAATTAATCCCAAATTACACACCTTTCAAATCACCCTTTCCTTTCTTTCCCTACTCTGCTCTTTTGAACTAGTTATTATATTTAGGATTGCAGGTGAGCCTGGTGTATAAAACATCCCGTGTTCACGCACGGTCTGGGGAAGGGCGACACCCAAGGATGTGATGTTGACAGCCTATACCTAATGCAAACATTAGTGGCTGCTTCCACCACTCGATCCCCTGCAATATTTAGGATGACAGGTCTTCACATAAAATTCCCTGCCATGAAGTCCGAGAAGAATGGTGAAATTGTGTCAATCAGAACATATTGGGCAGCTCTTATAATTTTACTAGATAATGGCAAGTTTAATCTTTCTCTCTACGAAGTCAGAGTTTATTATTCCACAAATAATGACACCAAAAGTTTTTTTATAATATATATTATATATTCTTAAATATTATACTCAATTATATCATTATTCCAACATTATATATGCTAGAAAACTATTTGTTTTATTTTATAAATAAAATTTATTTGTTCTATAGGTAAGTCCATAATGTAGATTAAAAAGAGAAAAAATTCATAATATTAAAAAAGTAAAAAAAAAGAAAAAGAAGACATAAGTTGATAATTTGGAGGGTAAAATAGGTATTTGACAATTAAAAATTTGAGAAATCTGGTTGAGTGACCTTCTGAGTGCTATATGCATAGTTAAGTGACTTTTCTGTTACAAACGAAAGAAAGATGACTTTACTAGATAATTTCGGATAGTTGAGTGACCATTTAAGTAATGGACTCCAAGTTATACCTAGCAAATTCAAACAAATGTAATATAATACTGTTGCCAAGCCATTCTCGTTTTGTGTATATTATTAATACCATTCACATTAGTCACAGCCAAAATTCATATTCTATAGTCTGATCTCCTTATGGTTTGTGCTTTCTTGTACTCCCATTGAAGCAACTTAAAGATAAACTAATGGAACTTTAAAGCATTTACTTGCTATGAGTTAACAAATACGTGCTTCAAGGAAATGGAGCAGTTAAAATCTTTTCTATTTGCTAATAATCATTCAATCAATCTATTATTATGAATTATTTGTATCTGTTCTGCTTATTCAGGCTTATACGTGTCCCTAAGAATTTGTATTCACCTTTTCTTTTTAACTCTAGCGTTAGTCTACAGTGTCACATCCTCTGTCACTCTATTGTATAAGTTGGATTTTATATTTGCTGTTGAACAGGGTCATAACATCTTTGGCATGAACAGCAACTCAAACTTTTGACTTTTGGAACAACTAATAAATTAATGGAATTGTCTATGCCTTTGCAATTTCTAATATAAGCCGCCTGTCGTATCCGTAGCGAGATTGATTCTTGAAACATATGGGCAATTTGCAAGTTTTCTTTGTTTGTTTTCTGCTCTTTTCATCTGTCTATGCAATTGCAAGATATGATTGCCAAGATTCCATGTGTGGAATCAACCACTTTGATATACGATTTCCTTTTGGATTACAAGGGACAATAAATCTTCAGCACTGTAGCTATCCTGGTTTCAATCTTACATGCAACAGTCAAGGCAGAGCAATTGTAAATGTAGCAGGTGCAGGAAATTTCTATGTACGTGATATTGACTACGTTGCACAAGAAATCCAACTCTATGATCCATCTAATTGCCTTCCAAAACGGCTTGTTGATTTTCAATCTTCTTCTTCTTCTCCTTTCAAGGCGGTTTTTTATAGGAACTATACTTTCTTGGCTTGTTCTACAGATTTGATCAAGTCTCAGTTCAATGTTATTGGTTGTCTAAGTAATTCTACCACCTCCACTTTAGCTACTTCTTCAAGGAGTTTTGCAAAAGAAATGACAAGTTTATATAACTGCAGTGTAAATAGCACTTTGTCTCTTCCTGTTTCATGGACTTCTGAATATGAGTCAGTTTTTTCAACTGATCTTAATCTCGATCTTGTGTTAACATGGAATGAACCCAACTGCCAAGATTGTGAAGCACAACAAGATCTTTGTGGGTTTAAAAATGCAACTACTGGAGAAATTCAATGCTTTGATGCTCCTGGAACAGGTAAATAACTTTTCCATTTACAGTCTCCTCCCATTTCTCCTTCAATATTTTCAGCCAAAATTTGCTGAGAGTATCAATCAACTATGCCCGAATCTTAATAATTGGTTGAAGTTGGTTATAAAAATTAAGTTTGTTGTTCTTGAATAGCTCAGGCTGTTGGGCTAAATTTAAAAAAAAAAACTACTCTTAACTATATATTGTTCACTTTATGCCAAGTCCGCGTGCAGCAGCATGCCACACCGTGTTCCCTAAAAGGTGGCTATTAAAAAAATGAAGAATTAACCTAAAAGCCGTCCATCTAACCGCTGAAACTAAAAATAATATGTATAATACATGTATAATATATGTATAACCGTATATAATTAATGTATAATATATATGTTATATGTTAGGAAAGTAAACCATGAAACCGGCTGTCTATTTATGTAAATCTCCCTAAAAACATGCACACACCTTATATGTAACTTCTTTTTCTTGACGACTTCTAATATGAAACTTTATTTGCACATCCAACAAAAGGCGGAGTACTGGTCGATGGTTAACCTATTGTTCATGACGCTACTTAAATATAGATAGGACACTGAGCAATCCTTCGTAATCATTATTCTGTTGTAGTATTAAGAAGACTCATTATAGTTAGACTGATCCTCAATTTACCGTAATACTCTTTCTTCAGTTAAACTTCGAAGTGATTATAATTTACAAATAACCAGGGTTAGCTAAGAGTATTTAATGGATAAAAACAAATGCGGCTAAGCACATTTTGACCTTGATTGGGTCAAGTGGCCCTCTTTAATTAAAACCTTTAACATATATAGTACTCAAATGTCAAACTAATGGAGGAATAAGACTAATATTTAAGCGTTTATGTATTATTATTTCACCAACTTTACTATCGGCTGAGATCGTGCAGAAAATGATGTATGCAATTCTAAACCTTGCAGGTTTTAATTTTAACAACTTGATAGTTGATAAATTCAGAATTATTGAAATTGATTTGGATTAATATTACTTTAGCTGAGAGAATCTGATCTAAATTTTAAGCTTTTGGGTACAATTATCGCTGCACACATTAGTTCTTTATGAAAATGGGTTCAAACTTAATACTCCATAATTATGTATTGTTCAAAAATTCAAGTATATGTATAACTTGAGTTAAAGATAGCGAGTGTGTCACATTCATTGCGTTCAAAATACATCAGGTATTGTTAGCAATATTAACTAAGATTAGTAAGTAAAAAAGTCTATTTTATTTTATTTTTTTGGCCTTAACATTATCATAATTTTACTTGCAGGCCATACACGAGGCATACAAATTTTCCGAATTATTGCACTATCTTTAGTGATACCAGCCATCACATGTTCACTTGGTGTGACATGTTACATCTGCTTTGAGCAAAGCCGATACAGCCGCCGAGCGGCGGCTGCAGTCCAGAACACTGCGGCCGGTACAGCAGCCGTAGCACCACAACCGGAAACAACCACCGGCCTCGACGATTCGACGATCGAATCCTACACAAAAGTTGTGCTAGGAGAAAGTCGGAGAGTTCCAGGGCCAAATCATGGAACTTGTCCAATATGTTTGGCAGAGTACCATCCAAAAGAGACAGTGAGATGCATACCTGAGTGTGAACATTGCTTTCATGCTGAATGCATTGATGAATGGTTAAAGATCAATGGTACTTGTCCTGTTTGTAGAAATACTCCTTCTCCTGCTCATGTTAATTCTTAATATATAACACGTTCTAATTTCCCACATCTCGAGTCTTGTCTTTATATTTATATGCATTTTTCTCTTCAAACCTTTTTCTCTTTGTTTGTTTTACACGTTCCATTCTAAAATTAAAATTGTATATCTCAATTCAAACATGTACATATGCTCATTGAATGTAAAACTTTTTTTTTTTTGTTTTGTTTTGTTTTTGTGTGTGTGTTTTTCTTCTCATTCATAAGGAAAATATTTCTCTGCTTCTATCACGAGGATTCTATCACGAGGATTAGACTTAGCCAAACTTCGTTAAATCCTTGTGTTATTATTTGTTTCGCTACAGTTTACTAGCGCATTTATCTTTCGAGAGAGCTGCCTTGTAGTTTCAAGTAGTAGATACATTTCAAGTGGTAGATACAGATAAATTTATTTACCCGGAAAATGGTACAGTTGAATTTGTACGTGGTTTCTAGACAAGTGAATCAATTTGATCCCTTAAGATAATGAATCAATCAATTTGGATGCAAGATACTTAGCTCAAATATAGATAAAACGATAGATATGGAGAGCCCGGGGATAGAGTTTCCGGGTACGATGATGATAAGAACAACAAGCTAGAAAAATAGTATCAAGACGCTGTATTAGAAGAATTCTTTGATGTCTGGAAAATTGTCCTACAATGATCGTTGAGCCTATTATTTATAGTTCAGTGGGTGTAATGGTTGGGCCCACCACTAATGACAATTATTGAAGTGCGGTAATGAAAATCTATCGGTAAACATAAATGACTAAATTTCTGTAATGAGCCATTACTCTTTAATATTGTGGAATATTCTTTATTAAATGCTACCGGACGCATCGTGCTTAATGCCTTTATAAACTTTCCTTTCTCGGTGACACACGGGGTAGATGTGCCCGGTTTTCTGTCCTCCCGACTTCGATTCCACGTGCACCCTTCTTTGGTGGCCACATATCGTAACATATTTTACCCAATACAGGTAGTCCCCCTACTTTTCGGTGACATAACTTCGTGTTACCGAAAAGTTGGTGAGAATCTTCTTTTGGTGAAAATTACTAAAATTCCTTTTGAAGGTTACTGACGGTTGATTAGACGCCTGTCCCTCCACATTTAATGCCTTGAACACGCGCCCTCCTATGATTTAGCACGCCTTTTCCCGATTATCGAGGTAATTGGGGCCAAGTATTTTAGCCGCCCAAAATTTCACCTATATGTATCAACTCTTTTTTCCTTCGGGTCTCACCAGTCGATTGAGCTTTTAAACTGCATTCCTGTTCTTCATCTCTTCTCTAATTTTCTCTCGACACAGAACTTTTTCTTTCTCTTCTCCAATGGCTTCTTCATCTAAACGCGCTGGTTCTTCGAAGAGCAAGATTAAGAACGAGGATTCCGTTCCTCCAACAGTAAGTTCCATAATCCCTATAAGGCTTAGTACTTTGAAGGATTTGGAGGAGAAATTTCCCATTGATAGCCCTCGTACATGGACGGTTAGCAGGTACTCATCCTCCATTCGTCCTTCCAGTATCCCTACTGTGAAGGAAGACTGCTACTGCCAAGATTTGGACATTATCGCTCCTGATCTATCAGAGCGGGTGACCCTTCCCAGAGAGGGTTTCACATATTTTTATACGTACCCTTTTACTTTGGGTGCATTTTCTTTGAATGGATAACCTGATATTGTGATAGCGGAATTTTGTCTCCATTATCAGGTGTGTTTGGCGCAAGTAAGTCCTTTTGTGTGGAGGACGGTCGCCTGTCTTCGGTGCCTGTGTATGGAAACCAAAGAAGAGCTATCATTAGCTCATATGATGAATTTTTATTCCCCCAAAGTCTTCCGTGGGGGGATGATAAATCTCTGCAAGCGTGGTCACCATGCTTTAATATCGAGCATGGATGATGACAACGACCGAGGATGGATGGAGCGGTTCGTTGCAATTGCCTCTGGTAACATTATTCTGACAACAACTTCATCCTTTCCGGTTGCTTGGAACCGCTCTCGTAAGTTTCATTCAATATCCTCCTCCTAAATGCTTTTCCACACCTGTATTAATCATTTAGCTCCTGTATGTTATAGCGACCCGATGGGTCCCACCGATAGTAGAAGGTTTGGATCGGTGGGTTCAAATGATCTTGGACGTTACCACGCCCGAAATCCTCTTGTGGAAAGAACTGTCCATCAAATACGGGTGGAAGGCCAAAAATCATGGTAACTATAATTTGCTTCGCTTTAGTTTTTGTATATGCGGAATTTGGCTGAATCTCCGGATTTGTTTATCAAATTAGGTCTACCCCCGAGCTCATTCGAGATCCCTGAAGAGGATGTTTTGGCCGACCCTGTTGATGCGGCGAGGCTGCTCCAGGAGGCGCTTGCTCAAACGGGTGCCTCCGGGTCTACTCCGGGCACAAATATTTCTTCATGGAGTCCCCGACCAGAGAACAAGCAACCAAAAAGAAGGTGTTCCTCTGCGACCGGGGAGAAGAGTAATAGGGCAAAGGTTGATGCCCCCGAATCATCCCAGGTAGCGACGTTGGCCGGTCCTCCATCCGGGACGGTCATAGATACCGTAGTGATTGATGATGAAGAAGCTAGTGATGAGGGAGCTTCTATTTATAGAAGACAATGATCCTTATCCTCTCAACAGGATGCTCAACCTGTTGATGCAGTCACACCCGCCGAGGATGATATCTCGGCACTTTGGGGAGAGTTTGATTTGGTGAAAAATGCCAACTCTCGTTCTCGGGCCCCAATTGCTGTGCCCGGTACTACGAGGCAAACTACCGGGTCCTTGCCGTCCTTGGTTGGTGATCACCCAACGACCAGTGCTGCCTTCGATGCAGATGTTTCCCGTTCTTCTCCCTTACCTACTTTATCACCCACTTCTGCACTACCAGCTGCTGCTACATCATTTCCATCTTCATCCACGCTTCCCCCAACAATATCACCTCCATTGGCCGCACCTGACCGTGTTGAAGGCGTCCCTCTCCCACAGTCCCCCGTTCATGGGAATTTGGGGCAAAATTATGCTGCCCCTTCCGAAGATCCTCAGAGGAGGAGGAATGTTACCCTTTCGGTCTCTACCAGGTGCAACCTTCTTTCCCGGCCGGTGAAGCTTGCAAATTATCTGAAGCCATTGTCTTCGGAGAAGGATTGGGAAAAGATTCAGACACTCTCGGGAGAGTGTTTGTTGAACAATGCCATGCATAATGCCGCAGCGGTATCTTTCTTTCTTTTTCTGCTATTTTTCAGCTTCTGAATGAGTGCATTTTAAGCTTTACTTCTTCTTATCTCGCAGGCCAATTTTCTTGCTTCTGAGGGTCTACAAAGTTTAATCCGAGAGAAGGAGGAACTCTCTTCTGAACGGGATTAACTTTTGGCAGAATGGGACCAAACTGTTCTCTGCCTTTCGGAACTGGAAACCAGGGCCACTGAGGCCAATGTTTTGGAAGCCCGTTTGTAGCAAAGTGAGCAGGAAGTGGTGACCCTTAGCCAAGAAGTTGGGCCACTGAGGGCCGGTTTTGATGAAGTTAAGGCTAAATGGGCTGAAGTCCACAATGCCTTTCTTACTGCCAACGATCGTGAGGCTGCTGCTACTGAAATGATAACTATTCTAGAAGCAACCTTGAATTCTAAGGCCAAAGAGCTTGCTGCTGCTGGCGCGCGGCATGACCAGTTGGAGGAGAAGTATAAGAAAACTATCGAGCACAACAGGCTCTATAGTTCAACTGTCTATGATCTCGATGTCAGCCTCTGATCTGCTAGGTCTGCCTGGGATAATCTTTCTGCCAAGATCACTCAACTCAAAGAAGAACTCAGGCACCGAGAGACTTCCCTCGTTGTTGAAAAAACCTACGCCATGTACAACATGATGAGACAGACCTTGGAAGGAGCCAAAGCTGGCATTTTTGATATTGATGCCGAAATTCTAAGGCACGCGAGCTTGAGTTGGCTGCTAAGAAAGGCCTCCCAGCGCGGTCTGATGCTCTAGGTTCTTCTGATTCTGGTTCCGAGATTTCGGATACTGAAGAGGAATCGGAAGGCGATGATGCTAAAGATCACGCTAGGGAAGATGTTGAGCCATCGGTTGAACTGGCTACTGCTCCCGGGGATATGGATACTTCTCTTCCTCCCGATTCCAGTGATGCTGTAGCTTAGCTTTTTCTTTCCTTGTTTTATATTTCTTTTGGAACATTCTTGTAAATGAAGACATATTTTTGCTCAAATGTTTGATCGAGTCTTTCTTTTGCTTGAATGTCTGTGCATATTTTCCTGTATGTGGTTTCAGATGCATTTTCTTCGATGCACTTCTGTCTCCAAGAATTATACCTTTTGCATGAGGGTTTCAATAAGTATTTTGCGCAAGTTTGGTTTCTGCGTCTTTTTTATATGTGGCTTCAGGTGTATTTTTCTCTGATAGTATTTTTAGTTCCGAGGATATATTCTTCTGCAACTAACCCTTTAATAAGAGGATTTTTATAAGAGAGGGCCCTCTTATATTTACGGTGCTCTTGAAGAGGACGTCTCCTATTCATTACGACACTAATATTTGAAGTACTTGTTTAACTTTCAAATGACAAAATTAGTTCATCGTGTAGACAAGAAACAAGATAAAAGGAAAATGATTTCATTTCATTCCTTCTTTTTCATAGTTTACATAGGCATTTTGATATGTAGAAAAGAAGCTGCCATGAGTTGTGGCTATCTTGTATAACTTGTTTCTTCGGGGCTAGTTGTGCAGTCCCCGGTCCTGATGATGTGTGGCATTCAGTGTTGCCTTACCGGATTTTCGTTCCCGGTTGAAGTGGAATTCAGTGTTGCCTTGCCGGATTTTCGTTCCCGGTTGACGTGGCATTCGGTGTTGCCTTGTAATCATATCATTATCCCCCCAATGTTCTAATGCGAGGAATGCGAGTTGGAACACTGGAAGTCTTGTATCTTCGAATGTTCCACCGATGAATTGCTACGTCAACCCTTCGCTCGGTAACATATTTTGCTTTCCCCTTAGGAATTCATGCTGTTGAGCGAAAGAATACCTAACAATCCTCTAGTGTTATGTGCTCGTAAACGATTGTGTAACCTTTGTTCGGTAGC